TAATCCCTATCATTATGTTCTGAAACCCTGTATCATTCTTAATATTTTTGCTTTGTTTTGTTTTTGTCTATGTTGTTGGCATTTTTTTTTAATTCTCTTTAAAAATAAAAAAATGGGGAAAAAAAAGAGCTGAACTACATAGTTAAAAGAAGAAAAAATGTCAGGTGAAAATATGGATCAACACTAAAAAATAAAGAACACAGGAGTACTTTTAAAAAATTTAATTTAAAAAATTTAATTTTTTCTTGCTGCTTAAATCTCTTTAAAAGGTTAAACAATAATTATAACAATATGAGATTTATAACATATTTATGACTATATCAGAACAAAGTGTGAGATGAAATAAAGTGAATATATGGTTGTACAGCCTTTCCTGAAGAGCAAACTGAATCCAAGGAAAGTAAAAGAGAGATCAAAGAGAAAATCACTATGATCAGAAAACAACAACAGAGAAAAACCACTGAAAACACAAGCTGTTTTTTAGAATATTAACAAAGGTGACTTCTAGCCATCCTGCTTTAAGAAAAATATTAAAATACAAACTACTACTGTCAGAATGATAAGTTTAATAATTATAGATATTAAAATAATAAAAGAATATTAAAAACAACTCTGCCAATAAACTCATCAACCTGGAAATGGACAAATTCAAACCAATAAAGCTCACTCAAGAAGACACAGGTAAGTTGAACAGCTCTACATATAGTAAAGAAATTGAATCTGTGATTTAAAATAATCTCTCCAAAAAAAACTCCAGGGCCAAATGGCTTCACTGATGAATATTACCAATGCTTAAAGACAACTCATAGCAACCCTACAGAATGCTTCCAGAAAACTGAAAACAAGAGAGCATTCCTAATTCATTCTATGAAGTCAGTATTACTTAAGACGCCAAAATCAAACAAGAACAAGAAAACTACAAACTGTAAGATACAGATGTAAATATTCTAACCAAATTTTAATATAGCAAATCCAACAATATATAAAAAGGATAATAATATAACCTAATTGAAGTTTATCTTAAAAATGCAAGATTGGCTGAATATTCAAAAAAACAACCACTGTAACTTACATTAACAAATCAAGGACAACAGTATCTTGATATATGAAGAAGTGCATTTGGCAAAATTCAAACCTAATTCCTGATTTAAAGCCCTTAGCAATGTACAAATACAGTGGAATTTCACCAATCTGATAAGGATAAATGCTCACTGCCTAACCAGTAGAAAAAAGACAAGGATGTCCACTTTCAACACTTCTCTTCAGAAGATTCTAGCTGGTGCAATATGGAAAGAAAAAGACAAGAAGGAGTTATCATTTAGTCTACGGCCATACCACCCTGAATGCACCCGATCTCATCTGATCTCGGAAGCTAAGCAGGGTGCGGCCTGGTTAGTACTTGGATGGGAGAAGGTGTTATCATTTAAATTTTAATAACCACAAAAGGCCCCTGTGTTAAGGGCTTGGTCCCTAGCCTAAGTTACTACTACTGGGAGTCCAGGGAACCTTTAGGACGTAGGACCTAATATAAGGAAGTGAGGTCACTGTGGGGGGTGTGACCCTGAGGAGGTACTGGGATCCTGACTCCTCCTCCCCTCATTCTTTTTTGCTTCCTGGCCACCACAAGATGAGCAGCCTCATTAGCTCCTGCACAAAGACCGGCGTACTACAGCAGCAAAGACCCAAGGCAACAGGACCAACTGACTATGGACTGAATCTTGGAAACAGAGCCAACTAAACATGTCCTCCTGTTTAAGCTCATTACCTCAGGTACGGAGCACTCAGGCTGTTAAAGTAGTAAAACTAGCTTTATTTGCAGACCACATGATTATCTACTGTTGATCCCAGTACAAAAAACGTTATTAGACCTAATGAGTTGCATCTCGTAAAGCTGAAGAATGCAAGATCATTATTTTAAAAATCAACTACATGGGCTGGGGATTTAGCTCAG